CTTATGGGCACACCACATACGACCAATTGTGTACCGTCAGGAGGAGCTCGTCTTGGACCGTGGAAACAGACCGCCCCAGATTTCTCGAGGGCGACTTGGAGGCCAATGCGCCTTATTTGCGCCACAACCTGTGCCACCCCCGCCGTTGCGAGGATGCAAGCTTCTCTGTATGTACGACCTTTTGCAGTGATAAGTGTGTCGTCGGCATAACATATTAGGCTGACGCCTTGCAGATGTGAGCCACGAAGGACGCAGTTATATCCGATATTCCATAGGAGTGGGCCTAGAACAGACCCTTGTGGAACACCACACTCAACCCTGTGTTCCTTCCAACCTCCCCGACCCGGGTAGATGACGGTACGGGCCGAAAGGTATGATCTTATCATGCGCCGGAGGTATACTGGCACGTCATGGAAGATTAAGCCGTCTATAATGGTATTCCAGGGAATCGTGTTAAAAGCGTTTGCTATGTCTAGTGACACCGCCAGCACCACCCCTCCTTGCGCGAGTGTCTCCTCGCAAACGTCTCTTAGCCTTGCAACGGCGTCGATGGTAGACCGGGCGCGCCGGAAACCGGGTGGGTATCGGCCAAATCCGGCCCGTCCGTTGTAAGGTGTTTTACTATGCGGGATGCTAGCACTCGCTCGAATAACTTGCCTGCTTCATTTAATAAAACAATTGGCCTATAGGCCGACGGGGACTCAGGTGATTTACCCTCTTTCTTTAATAATACAAGTTTTCCCGTCTTCCAGCTACTCGGAAAGTGGCCGTTCTTTAAAATATGGGTTAGCAACTCCCGAAACCTCTCTTCCAGCCCGTTATTGAGGACATGGACCCAGACCTTCCCGTGAACACCATCTGGTCCGGGGGCTGTCTTTTGCTCTGAAGCTTAAGTATTGCAACAGAGAGTTCCTCAGGCGTCACTTCTGGGACTTCCTCATCATAGTGGAGGTCGTCGCGAGATGTTGGATGCGAACTGTTAGCCGGGAATAGTGCGGAGACTACCGTATCCAGGAACACCGGTTCTAGAGTGGTAGTGAGTGGCGGAAGCCAGGGGCGCAGCTTGGTCATCACTAGCCTATATGGCCGCCCCCATGGGTCTAGCTCTAAAGTTTGTAAAAGATCTTCCCAAGCTTTCTCTTTGGCCTCTCCAATTGCAATGCGCAAAGTTAATTTTGCTGCTTGGTATTCGCCGTAGCACCTTCTTTCTTCTTCCGGATCGTGTGGAGCAAGGCGTCTTCGACGTAATCGGGTGTAGTGACGTCGGGCAACTACACAAGCCGTCCGTAGCTGGGTGAGTTCAGGCGACCACCAGTACACTTGTCGGCGGGGCGGAATAGGGCGGATCCTTGGCATTGCAGCGTCGCTAATACGTCGCAAAGCCTCTCCGAACCATTGCACCTCTCTATCTGCTAAGATAGTATTTGGCTTAGGGCACCACGCCTCTGTCAAAGATGCCAAAGACAGGGAGTCAAAGTCCAGTTTTTTACGGGACCATTTTGGCCCTATTTCCGGTGGAGGCTGATTTGATCTACCAGTTGCTGGTGGTAGCTGTTGATGGGGACTCACCAGGCACCGAATGTACCTATGGTCCGAAAGCGTTTCAACCTCTGTAAGTACACGCCAGTTGGAGACGCGATTTGCTAGTTCCGGGGATGCAAAAGTTACATCGACGATAGAACTGCCCTGCATTCGCACGCATGTGCGTTCCGATCCTCGATTCAATATCACCAAGTTGTGAGTGGCGATCCAATCAACCACCGCATCGCCACGGGCTTCGGTTACCGGAGAGTTCCACATAGACGACTTCGCGTTGAGATCCCCTGCAACAATAACATTTAATGGTCGAGCCCATTCCACCAGGGAGCCCATTTCTGCCAGAAAGGCCTCGAACTCTGTAATACTCCGGTTCGGCGAAAAATAAGCTCCAATTACAACGACTTTTTCTAGTTTAACAGCGACACAGCCGTTTCCTTTTAGCGAGGCTTGAGGCAAGCCTTCAGGCAACGAAACGGCAATCGCAACTAAACCGTTGCGGTCGCCAAACCAGTTTTCCCTCTGGGGGATCATATACGGCTCCGATACTATTGTGATATTGATTAACCACTGCGCCATGCTCTGGAGTAACAGATCCTGAGCTTTGGCGCAGTGGTTGATGTTCGCCTGTAGGATTTGGAGGGCCATCTATGAACCAGGTGTTATCTCCATTTGCTCTGTGTCCCCGATCGGTGGGGCACCAGTGGCCGTTTTGTTCGCGGTCCACGTCCTTCTGGGCATCTTTTTGCTGGGGGCCGAACACGCGTTACCCCCAGTAGATGGTTTGCTCTTTGGCCAGCCGCAGCACACAGAACGCATTGCGGCTTTTCAGAGCAACTCCCTGCTCGGTGGTCAGATTGACCACACCGAAAACAAAGGTGACTGTGGTCCATATCCGCAGTACACCGTGCTGCTACATGACCGCCCTGGAAGCAGCGGAAACATCTCAGTTCTCGGGCCCTCAAGAGAACAACTCGGGCGGAAGCCCATCCCACTAATAACCTTCCTTCGGTCAGCTTTTTGGCCGCCGTCACTGGGCACCTGACCCATGCCGCAAAAAGGCCAGTCCTGTTCTGACGGACGCTACCGACCTTCACATTGTCCGGCGAGCAGCTGACCTTAGAGCAAATGGCTTGTTTGACCTCTTCCGGGGTGACTGTTTCATCCAGCCCCGAGATCATCAACTCAGTTGATTTAACAGGTCTGGAAACCCGGACTCTTCCGTCACCATAGACCTCCTTTAATCTAGACGCCAGAATATCCGCCTTCTCCTCACCACCTGTCCCGGGGACCTGAATGATGGTGGCCCCCGTGACAGCTCGTCTGAACCGGACCGCTTCTATACCAAGCTCAGCCAGATTTAGTTTTGTCTTCGCCTCTTTTAGGACTGCTACGTATGTAAGGCCTTTCTCTTCGGCATCCGGCGGAAGCGTTAAAACAACTGCTGCGGAACTGGGCGTACGGAGCTTCAGTTGTGCAGCTGTTGCCATTGCCTGTCTCTTAGGTTGTGCTGGAAGTTGTTGAGCACCTTCATTCTTCTTCCGGCGCAATCCTTTCTTTACCACCTTATTCCACGCTTCATTAGTAGAGGGGAGCTCTGGCAGTGGGCACGGTGGTGACAGAGGGCAGCATTAGGGACAGTTGTCCCTGTAGGCACATTCTCTTGCCTTCTCTTAGGTTTCTTCTTCTTTTTCTTCTTTTTCACGCCGTCCTCGGGTTGAGTTGCCACTGTATTCGAAGTGGGCGCTGCTGTCGTCTTTCTAACCTTGGAGGACCCCGACGTTGTTGCCACAGCCTCCGGCTTATACTTGTCAGCGGAGAGAGGTGGTCGTATGCGAGGCTCCGGGTTGAGTCTTGGTTCTATGCTTTCTATTCTAGCATTGATCCTATCCACAAGGCGGCTCATGAGCCTTGCCTCAAGGTCCTCTAAGTCCGGTGTTGGTACCGGATCTGTAGGGCGTTGCTTTATTAGCTCTCGCAACTCTCCCATCTCTTTTGGAGCGCCTCCAGAAAGTTTCGAAGCCGCTCGTTTTCACTTCGAAGAGCTCGCGTCTCATCCGAAACAGACATTTGAGCGAGTACCTCTGTGTCCTCTTTAATAGATTTAGCGACAGATTTGAGGGCGTGGACAAATGTACCCTTAAGATTTTTTGACTTAGTCGCGACTTTCTCTACCATTTGCAGATTAGCTTCGATGCGCCTCTGCGCTAGATCTGCCGTCAAAATTTCCCCTTCTGCATTCATTGCCGCTGGTGTTGGTGCGGGTTTACTCGGCTCAGTCAATGAAGCGAGGATCTCCTCCTCAGCCTGGGCTTCCTTTTCCGTTTTCTTGGCCTTTAAATAAGCAGACCTAGCAGGCGCCAAGCCCATGTACCCTCTGGTTTTTGGTGGGCGGCCTCTTCCTCTTCTTGTTGTAGCAACTTTTAGTGGGGTCCGAACAGACGACTCGCTGATTGTACTGTCGCCATCGTCTTCGCCACTCCTGGTTCGTTTGCGAGAACTCCAGAATCTAGGATATGTAGGGTCTGTACAATCCAGTGATCTGGCGCTGATCATAGATGTCGCGGAGGAATCCGATAACCTTCCAGCATCAGACGTAGGCGCGTCAACTGGATGGTCGCCAAAAATGTCCCTGGAAACGCTCGGCACCGGCGTAATACATAGAGTGCGCTCAGGCACCACGGTCACTTCTTGTAATTCTCTCAGATCCGGGTTTATTGGTTGGTCCGTGGATATCATTCTACTATCGCATGTGTTATTTCTAATGATTTTCTCCTCGCTCGCCTCGGCAAAAGCGCCGGAATCATGAAGATTGTCCCCCAGAGTACGGTGGGACTTTTGCACCGGCTCTTGCGAGCAGGTGGCGGGATTTGACCCGCCTGGGGTAGTTTTACAAGTATTTGTCTTCATTTTCGCTTTAATTTTTATCCAGGTAAGACAGCTCACCCTGGGACGCCCTCGGGACCGAACTCCCCCGGCCACTCACCCCATCGCCGGGCGCCAGAAACTTGAGGTTAGGGGCTCGCCGTCAATTCGACGAGCCTCGCCAGCCTTAAAGGCCAGCCATACCACGCGCATGAAGCGCCGCTGGGGCTAGATAGAATGGCCCCCCTCTATATCCGATTCGCTTCACCAAGGTGCTGGCTTGCACCCCAGTTACTAAGCCCTCCCCGGCCACGTCAAGGCTCGGACCCCGCAGGATGGACATCTGCGGTGGGGAGGGCCACTACAGCGACCTACTTTAACTTTTAATTTTCCTGTTTCAAGCTGTCAAATTTTTTAAAACTTCGTTATGTAAATAGATATATATTCTGACGTTTTCATACGTTAATTTTTATATTAATTAAATTTTCAGTAACAAGTTTGAACGGTTGACATCTGATAGAACACGCAGGGGCAAGTCAAATAATGTACCTTGTCAAAACCTTGAATAAAACAAACACACATATAATATAGATATTGACTTACTTGCAATAATAAAGTCTTCCATCTCTGCCCGTGTGCACAGTCCAACCTTCCTTCAGATCCGTTTGAAGCCTCTCTAGCGCCGCCTCGTCTTCCAAAGCCTTTGGACTTCCTCCCAATTTTGGGCTTCCATACTTAGGGCTAGCACCTAAATTAGGGCTGTCTCCCAAATAACCAAACTTTGGACTACTGGTGCCAATACTTGGACTGTTTGAACCCAATCTGAGGCTACCTTTACCATCACTTAGTACTGGGCTGTTCAGTCGGGAAAAGTTTGGGTTCTGTCTGGATTTGGGACTGGCCGTGCCGCTGGGACCAGGCGAGGGGGTCGCCTGCTGCAGCAGCATTGCTTTCACATCATTGAACCATGTTTATTGTGATCTGAAAAACAAAGTGATAGGTGACAGCTGGTTGAAAAGTTACACTTAAAACTATTAGAATCTAGTATTTCACTACGCAAAATATGTCTCATTTATATTCATATCATGTACAAATTCTTCCCAAAATTATCCTATAAAGGCCGCGCTATAAAAGTCCTTGTTTTAGAGACAAAAATGGCAACACAGATTAAAACTGGCCGCATACGTCGAAACAGCGGTGAAATTGCTATAAAAAGAAAACTCTTCCCTCGCAAACGTTAATCGCCACGAGCATGGAAATATGAATAAAAATGGCCAACAATTTTCGGATGACGTTTGTTTGGACAGTTTACACCAATGGGAAAGAGTAATCTTATATAATAATTTCAATTATTTTGCTCATAACGAACAAAGTTTTAAGTGTTACAAAAGCGTTTTAAGTGTTAATTTTTTATTCTTCAATCCTTTATCTATTAAATTTTCGGATAATTATAATAATTAACATTTATACTCTAATTTTTTCGGAGTTCTTTTAACGGGCAAAACAAAAATATTGCGTTTGAACAGGTTATTTTTCTATGATTCAAAAAAAGGTTTATTTAGTTATAGATATGGGCTTGAAATAGCGCTGCTGAAAAACAGGACGTACAACAAAGAACAGACAATCTTCGGCGTCCTATATTAGTTGTCGAATCTGGAACGTGAAGTCGATGAAGTACTCTTTACCAAGATCATTTTTCACAACTAAGGAATGTTTGTTTAGGCCTGTCGTGTCACAACAGAAGGCGGATGTTTTTGAATGATATAAAATATTCATTCAACATCAAAACATACATACCTAATATGAGTCTATACCAGAGTACTTCATATTGTTTTAATACTTTTTAAATTACATTTTCTTCTTTTATTAAATACGCTTGCGAATATATCCGTATAAAACCGAATCAATTTATTATTAACATTTAAATTTTCACAACAATCTTACATTCAGCTGGAAAACAGGAAAAATCATGAATAATTTAGATATCGACAACAATTCTACGGGAACAATGCGGCCTGAAAAAATATGAGGTTTTTATCTCCCCATATAACAAAGTGCTCGTGACACTCTTTAATGGGTAGCGATGTTTCTAAAATAAGCTCGTAAAAAAATTCCATAGAAAACGCGAAAAATCGATTAACAACAATATATTATACTAGCAATCGTTGTTTTGCCATGTATATTATTTCTAGGAAACATTTTTTTAGTTCAATAAAAATAACTATCATACAAAAAATAGGGACTGCTCGTAGAGGGGTGAAAATGAAGGGTTGTATGTATTTTTATATGCTGTTTCATAAAAAAATATAAGTAAAAATGTACCCATAACATTTAGGGGTTTGAAAGATAGTAGCCGATTCTCAGACTTACTGAATATGCATAAAAATTTCAAAAGAATCGATTGAGCCGTTTCGGAGGAGTATGGGAACGAACATTGTGAGACGAGAATTTTATATAAGAGATTGCATTTATTATAATTAGGTAATTTTATAGACTTATTAAATTTCTTTCGTTATTCAGAATTCTGTTATACGTCGTAATTGCGCATCTACAACACTCGCTCGTATTGTGACGGAAAACATAGTGGGGAAACCAGCCAGTCTATTAATCTAACACACGTATTGAATTGTAGCCCCACATAATTATTATTATTTCTTCTTTTAATAATATATGAAAAGTAGTATTTTTTAGTAAGAAGGTAATGTAAGGAAAGTGAATTTTGTTTTACCTATATATCAATTTGCAGTTTCTAGTTTAGTATATACGAACTAATAGAATGAGGATTATTATATTTACAAAAACATTGTTTTGGTTAAAATCAATATCTAATTCTATTCTCCTAAACAATGGTTTCGCCAACCCATAAATCATAGCAAATCCACATCCATTTGTAAATTAAACAGAGATGGTAATACTCAGATATAGTATTTCGAAAAAGGACAGAAATAGTTATGACAGGTGGGTCGTTGACCTCATTTGTGATGTTATTTCGGCGGTAAGACGACGTGCAATCATCGAATGTATGAATTTGTACAACAATGGGGCATTTGGGAAAATTCTTTAGGTCGTTAGAGGAAAACCGCTTTAATATTATTTCTTCAGAACGAGTCATTTTTAAGTGGGTATTTTGAAAGGTGGGTAGTTGTAATGTTATTTAAGCTATGTTTTGATTAATGTGCTATTATTTATGATATTTGCTAAAATCTCATTCTTCTGAGTGACTATGGATTTCGTTCCGTAAAAATTACCACTACTTTTACTTTTCAATAAACTAACATTTATAACCATCACTTAGCATTGATATTATGGACGAGATCCCATATGGGATTCTTTTCGTCTATGTAGTATTTTCCTGTTGTTTATAAAAAAATGCTTTGTAATTAGAATGTTTACATAAATTTGACTAAGAATTAGTCTATACCTAAAAATATGTGTAGATCGAAACCTGTCACACGCAAACTACTTTGTGGCAATTAAATACAGAAACATAATAAACAAAGACGTCTTAAAAGAGAAATGAAATAAGCAACTCCAAAATCCTTTAATAAATGTCAGGTTAAATCCACAACAGCTCTCGACGACCAAACATAAATTTGAATAATAAGCAGACAGACTGCTGAAATTCAATTTGTTTTAAAACAATCCAAATATTTTAATTAAATTTCTAACATTAGCTATATAATTTTACAAACTGACGAAGATTTCATAACGTTTTAAATTATATGTAACAATACATTTTATAAAGCCGGTGAATGTTGAGTGTTCCAATTATAAATTCAAATAATTGTAATACATAGATAATGCAATCCAGTAGTTAGTAAAAATGCAACTTATATATCATGTTAAAACGTCATAATAAATAAAATATCATTTCACTTGACTGTCACCGACTTTTCTTTTTGAAAAACTAACTGCTAAAAAGTGCCGTATCCATCCATCCAAGAATTAAGTTCCGAAAAAATCTAATATTACATTCGGTGCAACTATTACTTTACTATACAATTGTAATTAGATTATAGATAACTCATCAAGCATGAAAAAGTAGCTTATAGTGTAACTTTAATGGCATACCAAGACATACGTCAAAACACTTCACAGCCACTATAGTCCTTTCAAAGATTTTAGAAATGTCCATCCAAGAATTAAATTACGGAGGCATCCTTACATAAGCTTTAACTCGATTCCCTATATCTATAATTCTACTATACACATTATATATACAGCTATACTATACTATAGATATAGTATCTTCTATGTAATCAGATTACTCATCAAGGCGACGTGTTTGTCAAACTTGGGCCATCATTGTCGGGTCTCGGGATGTTGGGATCACCAGCGGTCTTGTAAATAAATAGTTTCTGTAGGGTTGTAACGTGTGCTATTGAATAACACAACCTTATGGGGTCTAACTTTGTACTTGTAGAAGATTTGGGCTGTGTGTGGCAGGTTATACATAAAGTATTATATACATAAAGTACATAATACTTTATATAATATATCTTACATTGAATGCACCTTCAGTAAAGACAAATAATACTCAAATTAAACGAAATATATAAAAGAGTTAAAAAAATCAGTGACTCTACAACCTTTTAGATCTGAGGTTCAGATTTCTGTACCTGTATCGTGATCATACAACACAGACATTTCATTTGCTTTTTCTCATGTAAGTAAGCTTTTTGAAACTGACACGCCAGCGACGGTTTGAGTCTAAGACATGCCGATTTCTTGACGATGATTTCCATTATCGTACGAGCGAGTGTTAAATGTGCACTCAGACAGAAAGCTTATTGGTGCACAGTCGGGGTTGGAACCTACGACCTCCGGACTCTCGGATGAGAGTCGCAGGGTGGAGCCATAATAATTTATTTACTTAAAATTTTAGTATTTTAGGTTCTGGTTCATATTTATTCTGTCCTAGCTGACCTCGCGAACTTCGTTGCACCTTAAAATGTTGTTATACTTATCCTTTTTAGTAACATACCAACATATGGAATATTGTACTATGCTACCCCATAGACACTATGGGCTTTCAGGTTCTTCCGAGCAATTTTTCAAAATTTTGTCTCCATAAAAACCTACCTCAAGAGTCTACCCGTCCACAAGTTTTGCGCTTAGCTACATATTTTGCGATTCATTTTATTTATATAGATAAAGGGCATCTATACTAGAAAATAGCCTTGAGCGTCGGAAGTGCAAATAAACATTAAAAGAATTTATTCCTCAGGGAGTGTGAGGTGATTTCTAGTTCAATTTCTACGTCGTCTCAAACACAACATCTATAAAGAGAAAAGGTCAAAATAAAGATTGAGTAATATCACACAACACTGTATGTAACTCGCAAAGCGTTTATATCTAAATATTAATCTTGCGTTCTATAGCTTTAAAACTGAAATTAGTATTGTCAGCACTTGTTTAATTAATTTACGGCGAACTATTTCGAAACTCAATTATGACTGAGCTTTGTCTAACGCGCTATAATGTACCCATCTACTTAGTAAATTTGATTATCTCTCAAATCCCTTTACTGCCTACAAAATTTACTTTACCGTGAGCTTTAGCACCCAATTTGCCTTTACAGCTATCATTTTACTTTTGTAGGATTTACAATATAGCGTAGTATATCGGGCTATATACAATACTTTCCCTCACATTGGACTGGCTATTTAATAGTATTAAAATTAAAGTGTTATTTAGTGAGGCGGAAAGTTTCTTGCTAGTTCTTCTTGCCCGCTCTACGCCCTTGACTTGGGAACTGGTAGTAAATGTAAATTTAGAATAAATTTAACTTCTTTTCTGCCGTTCATAAGTATACCTGTTTACTTATGTGAATAAAGTTATTTTGACTTGACTTGAATATGCATTTATATAAGTTAAAACGCATTATGGAGTAAAATAACTGATACAAATTTATCAAAAATCCATAATTTAAATATTGATTGTTATA